AAATTATACACGACTTTATCTCTGTTTCTGTATTAGAAATAAATCCACAATAAAAAGCTTTATATTTAACTAATAAGAAAGTTTTAAAATGATCTCCAAGGAGATTATGTAGTGATGTTAATTTTATAGACAGTTGTTATAATTAGGGAATGTGTCTCATGTGCAATGCTTTATCATGCTCAAAACTGGGGTGTTTTACCTCCTAAATGCTCAGTTCTCCTTTGCCAACAGAGATGCATAGCTTAGTCATCTCTCGTAAATTCCCTCAGATGTGGCTATTAGTAAAAACCTCTGACTCAACCCAACTTCAAGTCAAGATGTAATTTGCTACATGATGTGCTGTGATGACACGAGAGAGAATCAATTTTCATTTTGGAGCGAATGGAATAAATCTGCACCTGCAGTTGACATGGAGGTCGTCGCTTCATCCAAAGAAAGCAAAGCGAGCCACAGATGTTCCTAGCTTTATAATTTCTAGATTTGATTACTATAATTCACTGTCTCTACACACCTGAAATGACTCACCATGACTTCAATTGGTGTAGAAGGAGTGGATCTACTATATAAAGCTCACTGCTGCTGATAGTGCCTCAATGTAATGTCGTAGATATTGCATCTACTTAAATGATACTCCACCATCATTTCAAATGACCGAGTAAAGGGACTTGTCACACAATATTTGAAATAATCTATTACCTTCAAGTGAAATAGAGCCAAGGTGGAGAATCTATCCTTTTCTGCATACTTACCCCATAGAAGACAGTTACATGTAGGAAGAGAGACACAATCACAGCTGTCAAATTCATCTCATGATGACAGTGATTCTATTGTTAAGTCTTTATTATTTTCCTGTTTATACTAGGATTTTAAAACTTAAAGAAAAATATGAGCAAAAATATTAATTTGGAAATTTCATGGTGGAGTTGAGGCTGTTAGATGTTAAAATAAAACTCAAGAATTTTCTCAAAAGTATGGATATATGTGATTTTTTATTATTATGGCTATAAATTCAGTTCTTGAAATCAGATTATTTTTAATATTTATTTTTCTATTATAATGACTGTCATAGCTATATTGTTTCCTTATGTATCTGTATATTTTTCAAGTTATAGCATATGCAACATAAGAGTATTGGCCACAATAAATATGTTTTAAGTCAACAAAGAAACACTTTTAAATGTGAATGAGAAACAGAAAATAACTATTCATTCTCAAAAACACGAGTAAAAATGGGATGGAAATCATGTTTAAAGGGCAATACTTTTGTGAACACTGTGAGTCAGTTTTCATTGTTATCATAATTAAAAGACTTCTATTTTTGGTGGGAGAGGAGCATTTAAAAAGCTCGAGCAGGGATGTGGGAGGGAAAGCATAAAAGCAGTCATCATTTTCTAGTCTTTCTGCTTTTATTATTATTGCTCTGTAGATCTATTCTGAAATGATATACAATTAGGTGATAATTTAGGCAGGTCCATCATGAGAGTGTTTCAGGAATGGGGAAGAAATTACAGGCAAGCTATGGCATGAAAGAAGTGGGCCTGGAATGGGTATGCTGCTGGGAGTTTCAAATATTTTTGGAATATTGAAGTCAAACAAGTTATAGGGACAAGCACACAGGAATGCATTTGAGATATTTACTATCATGTCAAATAGCTTTGGGGCCATTCTAGGCGGTGAGTCAGTTTTGCGGAGGGTGTCAGTTCATGGTCAGGTTTGTGGTGGCACAGTAGCTCCCAGGTGATAACAAAGTATGTGCTAAGTTGATTGTTCAGTGCAGAGAGCAGGATGTCAGGGGAAAATAAGGAGTAGCTCTTCCGACGGAAACAATATGGTGGCCATTATGAATTCATGCAGCATGATGGGGAAGAAAAGGCACAGCCTAAAGACTAATCCTAGTCTCCTTCAACTTGTAATTTTGAGACTAATATTTTTTTAAAATATTTATTTATACAAGAGCTGGGGTGCAGGCCAGAGGTGTGGGGGTGAGAGGATTCACCAGAGACAGAGCAGGGAACAGAACAGGCAGACTGACGAAATACACTGCTGAGGGGAGCAGCGGGCGAGGCAGGAGAGGTCTGCTGTGCCATGTGGGACCCTTGCCAGCCAGCCTGGATCGAACCAGCGCTGCAGAGGCTGCAGACAGCTTCACAGTGCGGCACTCAACCGCCTGCACCAACAGGGAGGCCCTTGAGACTAACATTTTATACATTACTTAATTAAAATTGGTTGCTATGTGGGGTATTCTTCTTGTAGAGTAAATTGCATACTATTGATGAGTAGGCTTAGAAAAGACAGGACTAATGTCTTTTGGTAAAAAAAGAAGTTAACAGAATAGTCTAATGACATTACAGAACATTATAGTCTGCTTGAATTTCTCTTTGCAATCTATCCAAATGAAAAGAGGGAAATAGAAGGAAGGGTCATGCCATGTTCTTTATGGTGTGTGATTGGCATGATAGAGATTAAACAATGATGGTTCAATGGGTCTTTTGTTGTAGCAACAAATGCTTGAAGTAGGATCAACAATTACCATTTTATTCTGATAAAATAGATGCTCAATAAGGTTAGGTAGTGAATAGATCACATTTAAATGAAATGTCATTTTCACTGAATGAACTAATGTTTGTTTGATAAGCTCTGTGTGAGGAACACATTCATGAGCTCTCAGACAGATTAACACTTCTGAGCTAACATTTCTCAATGTCTGCTTCTCTTTCCAACACTACTAATCCATACTGGAGTGACTTTTAAAAAGTAAATGAAGTGCATTTAGCACATGAAAATGAATTCCAATTGTATGCAAAACGTAACTATCATCATGAGGTATGAATATAAAGATTTTTAAGAACCAAAGGGACTAAGCATTACAAATAAATGATTATTTATTGTTTTTCTTTTTTTGGCTAGAGGAATGGCTTTCTAATGAATTATTGAATTATATCTCAAAAGATTTAGAAAGCTGTCATTTATGTTGTATATTAACTAGTCTGAATAGCCAAATAATAAGTCTTTAAACTTTGTAATTATCATAAATAGTATATTGTAATTATTGGTACTTATAATATTATTCAACTTAATATTTACTAATATTAGAAGACTGGTATATGATTACTATGGGCAAATTGGACATTTAGAAAGTGATTAATAAGTAAGTAATAAAAATAGACTTAACTCTGTAAGTCAGAGGTCAGCTTTAGTCAGCTACAGCTAATATACTATTTTAAATAGAAGAGCAATAGAAAGATTTTACAAATTCTGTATTATAATGGATGATACTCTCTTTTTAATTATTTATTTATACAAGCACTGGGTACAGTCAGAAGCACAGGAGGGTAAGAGAATTCACCAGAGCCAGAGCGGGGAGCAGAGCAGGCAGAAGGACCGAAGTACACTGCTGAGGGGAGCAGTAGGCAGCAGGAGAGGTCTGCGCGCCATGTGGGACCCTTCTCTGGTGGCCGGGGAGCAGCTGGGGATCGAACCGGCGCTGCAGAGGCTGCGGGCAGCTTTGCAACCCAGCGCTCAACCACTGCGCCATTGGGTAGGCCCAATGGATGATACTCTTAATAACTGAGTCTATATTTTTTACTAGATATCTATAAACTATGCTATATTGGGGAATCCCCTCTGGTATAGGGGTTAAGCCTCAGCACTATCAAGGCTAAGGCCTGAGTTCCATCCCCAGCCAGGAAGCTAGCCTACATAAGGTGTAGCAGACCTCTCCCACTGCTCCCCTCAGCAGTGTATTTCAGTAGTTCTGCCTGTTCTGCTCCCCACTCTGTCTCTGGTACCCTCCAGCCACCCCTGCACCTCTGGCCTACACCCCAGTTGTTCTATGCATAAATAAACAAATAAATCTTAAAAAAATAAGTTATATGTACCCATTATATCTTACGTATACCTTTGCCAACATAGAAAATCCATTTCAGTATCATTAAATATTATTCTTTGCAAATATTCTATTTTTAGAATACATGTAAGTACATACATATATTAACAATTGTATATACATATATAATACATATATATACTACTTTTAATTTCTAGTAAAATCCAGTGAAATAAAATCCAGCCCAAATCTACATTTCCGTGAATTACAAAAAACCTTTTCCTAACTCTGGACACCTATTGTCTCCTGCAAGTAGATGATATAACAAATACATTTGTCTGTGTTAATTATGGATGTAAGCTGAAGCCCCTCAAGTTGTACATGGTTCTCCAGTACATGTGACCAACCTGAGCCTATTTGAACCATAGTCAACACTGAAAAAGAAATGTCAAGGAAAATGCTCATACTGTATGATTGCCTCAAAATCCCTTATTCTAAAGTGAAAAAATAAGGGATCTGAATTCCAAATACTAGAAAGATACATACATCTGTGTAGATACATATAGATTTGTAGGTGCACATATATTACACAAATATTCACATCTATATCCATGTTGAACTATAGTGGATCATAGTTAAAAAGAGAAAACCTGGAATCCTTGCAAACATATGAGTTGTATTTAAATTTACATGTGAGATTTAAATACATGCGAGGACATGTAGGTAATAGATTCCCCTGCTTAACCACATTTCCATTCATTCATATCATTCATAGTGAGTTTGTACAACAAGCAAGGTCTATTCTAGGAGCTGGGACTATTGTATCTCAATTTTAATCTGAGATGCTTATTAGACATCAAAGTGGAGTTAATTGTAGCACATTAGATAAAGAGCTTTGAGCAAAGGACTGGAGTGGCTGGGGAATATTTTGATCACTGCCTATTCACCCTGTATTTGAAGTAGGGTTTCCAGCTCTAGGGTTATGGAGATGACCTTCTCCAGCCATTGTGGAGTGGGTGAGAGCCACAGGAGTTTATTAGTCATTATACTCACCAGTTGGAGCAGAGGAGGTGGATGAATGGTATAGAGGAGATTGACAATGGTCAAGTTGAGGAGACCGTGGGAATTATATTCATTAACCTGAGGATCACGTATGCCATTTTCATCTCTCCAGATATGACTATGAAACATGTCATCACTGCGGCTGTTGACAGCGATGTAGCCGTCTGTCTGAGAATGGAGCCCACAAACATAGAGGTTGGGGCTGATGACACAACTAGAAAGCAATTAACGGAGCATATTGAGACGCTCTGTCTTCCTGCAATCCTGTTTTGAGTACCATTAATTCAGTGTTATCATCGGAGATAGAATTTTTTATTGCTTCAGCCAATTTAATTTGGTTTTCTGTTAGCCACAAATTTAAACATTTTGGAGAAGCTTTACTCTTCCTCTTGCAATTCGAACTTCAGAGAAGGCCAGGTTGAAAACTGAGAAAGGTAAATAATTGTTACACATTTTGAGGAACAATAAATACCAAGGAGCAGATGGTTGCCTAGCATTGCAAGGATTCTCTCAAAAGGAGCTGGCTGGTCACAAATTAACAAAAATGTTGAAACCTGACATAATGAATCACCACCCTCCCCTCTGGGGTGCCAATTAATTCTCCCAGTAACTTTCCACACTGGTTCTTGTTCAATAAAAACTCCTGCTTTTCACTGCCTCCTACTGCAGCATTTAATAAACTTTTCTTCCCATTAACTAGTCTTAGTTTCTGCTTTGAAATATTCTTTCAAATATTTATATGAATTTTCCAGTTATCTAACTTTAATAGTTCAATATAGTATGATTTACCATATGCACATTTATAATTTTATGCATTTTATTCAGCAAATGCTTTATTATCGCAGGTTCTATCCTTTTTGTAACAGAAAAGCCATTTCTTATGCAACCGATTTGATATTATTCTTGTGTGTGCTACAGCTAATTATTTTTAGATAGTCTGGTTTTAAAAACTAAATTACTTGAAATTTAGTGGAGACATGAAATTTTCTTCTACCTTTATAAAAGTTCACATCATTTTTCTGACTAATTTGAAAATATGTTCTTCATGCGATAAAAACCTATATACATAGCTGTCTCTTGATATACATTCTTTTATTTTTACCTAGTCATTGTGTTTTTGAGGAAAAATACTACCATTAACTACTGTAGTTTTGTACCAGAGACGGGATATAGCAGAATTAAGCATCTTTAGAAATATTTTTTATAATCCCCTATATTTAGTCTTCCCTTTGAAATGTAAAATTGATCTGCCAACTTCCCATCCCAACAACACTGATGTTTTGCTTTGGGGTAATATTACACTTATTTATTATGTAGGTCTGACTTGTATGGTTTATTACCATTCATTCCTATTTGAGAATGAAACTTTTATTATTTTCTGAACAGGAACTTTCCTAACTCCTCATGAAGTCTATGTCTACATAATTTAAACATTTATAGCTTCTGTAACTGGGGTTTTCTTTTCATTATATTTCCCAATAGGTAATTTCTGCTCCATAGTCAAGCCATTGATTTTTTGCTTATCTACTTAATATGTTACTGAAAACCAGGTATTCTAATGAATTTCTTAGGGTTTTTAAAGTAGATTATTTTCATCTATATCACACTTTTGCCAAACATGTGTAGCTTAAGTCAAAGAATAAAAATTAACTTTTGAAAAACAGCTACATTTGTGATAACTAGCTTCATGTTTCTGCATCTATTTTCAATATGGACATTTTTGTTGGTTTATATTTCAAATCATATTATATAAATACCTTTATGACTCATTTATCTGAGCTTTATTTATTTAGCTAGTTTTATCATGTATTTATCAGCATAGTGAGTAAAAATGTTTTATTTATTTATTTATTTTAAACACTAACATAATGAAATATTCAAACACTTCCTGGTGGTGAGGCCTCCTAGGCACCTCCCTTGTTTCATGGAGGGAAGGATTCTGTTTATCAAGATGCTGCTTAGCTTTTTTTCATCACAAAGCACTGAAATTTTTACTCACTATTTGTCTTTTTTCATGTGATTTTTATCTGATATATTGGTGACAGAATTCTGGGCAACACAACATAGTTGATTATCCTCTTGGCTTTCGATTCAGACATTGCAAAGTTTGAGTCCTGTCTTCATTTTCCCAGTTGGTCGGTCATCTTTGGCCATATGTGTCTGTCTAAATCTGTTTTCTCACATTAGAAGTAGGGCGCCCCCAGTGGATTTGTGAGGATTAAATGAGGTAAGACATAAGGTAGGCCGACCACTCATTCCAGCGGCTGGACCCTGAATATTAGTCAATAAAATGTCAGTCATAAAATTACAGAGATGATTCTATCTCTGTATTTTTCTTATTAGTTTATATCCAAAGAGCACGCTCTAAGGCGATCAGTTACTAGTAATCAAAGCACACCTCCTTGCTGTGTGTTGGCGTCTAATCCATAGTCCCATGTGGGAGATTACAGGGTTTCCTGTGTCCCTCTGTCTGGTAGAAAGGAGGGTTGTCTCTGTCATGATGGGCCTTTCTCTGTTGAAGACCTTGTGTTCCAGCAGGATTAGCTTGGGTGGACCGGCATTCTGTGCTGATCTCCAAGTGAAACACCCACCCTCCCCAGGGTTCCACTTTCTATGTTCCACGAGCAACCCCCACTGAACCCAGGGTATCTTCCTGGAGATACCACAGGGACTCATCCAATCAAGTCCAGCTCTGGGTCTTTTCTCCTAGCTCTGGACGTTCTGAGTTAACTGCTTTTGCATGGGAATCTTTGACAAAATTTCCTCATATTCAGAAAATCATTGTTAGGTGGTCCACCTTCATTTTGAGTCAATTTCCAATGTTTCTATGATAATTTACTCAATAACTAACTCCCTTTTCTTTTACAATTAATAATTCAGGTTTTCTCCTCACTTACAGATGCCATTTATCATCTCAGTGGGAAAAGGATTAGAAAATAATTAATAGTCCATCCTTGTCTTAGTGAGAGTCATCTTTATGTTTTGCACCAACAAGTATCATTTCATATTTCATTATTCCAATTACTAGGCCAGGATGTGCTTCCAGAAAGTCAGCAATAATGAAAGCTAAGTAACACTGGAGATTATCCCATGCTCTCTGACCAATTTAATTTATCCATAGTAAGTATTTATGAAAAAGCGTAGTGTTTTAAAATATTTGGGGAACAGCTGCCTTGATACAATGTATCCCTGTCAATGTTGTATCCTCATGTTAAATGAGTTTGTTACTTGACTGCTGTGTTCTTGTCCTGAGAAACTGTTGAGGGCTGTACAGTAGCTCTTGAAGGAGGGCACACTTGCATGTACAGCACCCTGCTGGTGGAGGACAAGTTAACAAGGGCAAATGATTTATTAATACATATAATGCAGCTAGATTATAGTGCAGGGAGTAGCAGCATACACTCATATAATATCCATGAATATCTAAATTACAAATTTTGACTGTAGAATTTGTAGAAGACTAGTTTAAAAAGACAAGAAAAAAATGCATACAAGAGAAAGAAGTTTAGTTGACTGGACTCTTTGAGTTATACTATACTTATTCTTAGCTTTTTTAAGAGTTTGCAGGAAATACGAGGGCATTGATAGCCATAGCCTGAGATCGCTGAGCATTTTTCACTAGAGAACATGAGCACATATTTTTATAAGGGGCTAAAGACATGTATATATGCTTATATATGTGTACACACAGATATTTTATGTGCATTAAAAATGTATATTATGTATTTTATCATCACGTTCTATACTTTTGCATTAATTAAGGGTAATGTGTTATGCTCAGGGTTTAATCTAATCTCAGCAGGAGTTTTGTACTAAGCACAGACACTTAGTTCCATGGGATTGTCTTAGAATGATTTCCATGTTATAGAAATGAAGATTAAATATATTGGAATGGTCTATTTACAAACATCCTCTCCCCAAACAGGCCAAAATAATGCCTTTAACACTGATAAAGAAACAAAAGTGATTTTTCTTTCTCTTTAGTGTTATAAAAAAATTCAACACCATAATCTACAAAGCTAGTTATGGCTTCATGATTGTCGCTAATCATCCTGAATCTGATTAAATGCACAACACATGGAATCTCTCCTGCTCATCCACTGGAGCCCAAGTCTCCTACTTAATGGTTTTGTTATATAGGCATTTTTCCCCATTTAGGACTTTTCTGATTTGCACTGGAGTTCCAAGCAGCAGTTTGTAATGGAGAGCTTGGGGTAAAGCTATCCTCACCCCAGCATTTTCCCACTTACTGAGCATTTTATTTATTTTTTTTTGGAGACCACCAATGAACTCCAAAGTCTTGTGGCTCTCTTGTGTTGTGTGGATGCTTGGTATGATAAACATCCACTGGGAGAGTAGTTATTTTCATAGGAGCAACATTCCTGAAAATCTTGCTCTCCTCTGGGGATTATAACCCAGAGAAATGGAGGCAGGGTTTTGAGTGCAAAGTGTTTTCATAAACAGTGTCCACTATCCGTGGTTCGACCCCTTGGCGATACAGGCAACATCTTCAGGAGGCCAGGGGAACCCCTGCGCATCCATCCCTGTCAACCTTATTTCTCAGAAATGTCACCACTGTTCGGTCATGCTGACTTTTTACTATCCCAACCCCCTGCTCAGGTATTTCTCATTTCAGGGGCTATTCATTTTAAAATTCCTTTCCCGGGATAGTGCCTTTCCTTGCAAGATGGGGTGCTACCTGCTATGAATCATTTAACAAAACCAATTAGCTCTTTCCAATGAACTCAGATTTTTGTTACTTAATGATAGCATTAACTCTAGGAGATATTGTTGCATCATCTACTTATTAAATAAATTAGGATAACAAACCACCCTAAAATATAGTTACTTAAAATTCCTTTCCCAGCCTTTCACGTAGCTGAGTAAAGATTCATAACCAAGACCACGTTCCAGGGAGGTCAGTGGCAAACTACTCTGCTAAATGCCTACAGACATTCCTTGAAAACCAGAACTTACTTTACATTGACAAATTATATTCATTTATTTGACTTTATTATTTGTCTCCAACAGAATATCAGGACCAGAGCAGCAGTGTATACCTATTCCATGTTCCTGGCTTTTGACAAGAGCCTGGAAGACACTGTAGGTAGTGAATAGAGTTTATTGAAAGAGTGGACAGATAGAGCCTCCTTGGGTGGCCTAGGGGTTAAGTCTCAGAGTTATCACCACTAAGGCCTGAGTTCTATCCCCGCCAGGGAGCTGACCCACAGGGCGCAGCAGACCTCTCCTGTCTCCCTGCTGCTCCCCTCAGCAGTGTATTTCAGTTGATTTGCCTGTTCTGCTCCCCACTCTGTCGCTGGTGAATCCTCTCACCCCCACTGCCTCTCTGGCCTACACCCCAGCTCTTGTATGCATAAATAAAACATAAAAAAAAGGAGAGGGTGGACAGATAAACAAGATATGTGAAGGCAAGCACAAAGATCAAAAGAGGCCAACAGCAACAAAATCTC